CCCCCAAAACTGGATCAAAATCAATTCAAAAGGTGATATTCGTGATCACCGTGAAATTTTGCATCGAATGATATAGTTTTAAGTGAAAAATAAGAACTTGCAATTCTTTTGAATTAGCGGCGCCTTAACAAAAAAAAAATATGACAGTTAATAACACAATACTTTTGTTTTGCTGGCTGCTTGTGATCTCATGAAAAAAATATAAAGACAAAAATATTAGACATAATGAAGGGTTTTGTTTTTCATATTTTTTTTCCAATAGCTAACGGTATGAGAAAAGAGATATCACTAAATCATTTCTGCAATTGTTACATTTTTTTTTTGTTTTATTATAATTGTTTCAGACCATCAACATGACACAGGTTTCGTTTGAAAAATTTGTTGAATCTTTTGAAAAATCATTTGAGCATGAATCATGTATTGTTGTCGAATTAAACAGTTCAAATTTACTTTTACAAAATACTAATTTATCATCAGCACAAAATGTTGATTTTCATCATAATCAAATTGTTTGTCAACCACATTTTACGAATACATCGTATGAAATTGCATTCTATGATAATGGTATAGCCTATTATGAGAAGATGACGGAACAAGATATATTAAGACGTTTAAAAGTATTAAATCCAAAAATTGAATTTAAAAATATTAAATCAGCTCTCGATAGAATACATACAATGTTAAGTGAATCGACACAACGAGATAAACATGAAATACATGTGTATTTATCAACAGCACTTGTACCAACTTTATTAGTCGAATTAAGAGGATATATCAAAGATAATTATTCATTTATGTACGAATTTAATTGTAAAAAGAAAGAAGGTAATAGCTTGTTCAAGAAGATTTTTTTTTTAAATAAAAAAATTTAATTGATCTTCACCATTCGATGATGAAACAACACTCATGAACGAAATACTATTGTATCTTTCTGTCTAGGTGAATTTTATGAACAAAATTATGTGAAACAAATTATCATGGCATTAGGTGAACGAGAAAAACGTGAATTAGAATTAATTCGTATTATACAGGCTAAAGATAAAGAATTAGAAGATTATCGATCACAAGGCACATGTCAATTGCAACGTTCGTGGCTACAAACTCAAACATTTAATAAAGAACAATTTAATCGTACAACACGTTTAAATCGTGAAACTCAATCGGTTGTGACAAATCCTCTTGGATATGCGTTTAATAAAGATGGACAAGATTTGGTAGAATGTTGTCTGCTACGAAATGAATATATGAAAGTAAATAATGATTATCTTATTCAAAGTGGTCAACAACAGTCAGGACAACAAATATCACCTATGAAAAAAACACCACAGAAAAGAACACAACAACCAGAAATTAAAGAAGATTTAGAAGATTTAATTGAAGAAGAACGTCGACGAAGCGAATTAGATAAACAATTGAAACAACAAAAACTGTTAGATGCTGAAGTGGTTAAGAAAAAAAAGAAAACGTTATTTTAAACAACAATTGTGTTTACCAAAATGGTCTGATATTTATTGTACAGCTTAGACTTTTTATTGTTACATTTTGTATGTTTATAAAAACTTTTTAAATATTTTTATTGAAATGGAGTATATTTTTTTACAGAAGTAGAAAAACTATTTTTTATTTTTTGCTGTTGTTTGTGCTTTTCTTTGTTTCTGTGTTAAGTTTCAGTTTTCTTCTACTTTTCTTTCCTTTGTTTAAACCGAGTGATAAAACATGAATTTGCACCTGAAACAAACTAGGATGGGTGAAAAAGTATTGAAAGATTGAAGGGAAGAGTGTGTTGTTGTTTGTAAATATAGAGTCGTTTCTCGGAAAATGTGGGAATGAATGATTGAAAGATAAATTAGAATGCACAAAGAGGCATGGATTGAGAAGAGAATCATGAATTTATAGAAAGTACGCGTTCATGCGTTTACACAAAATTTCTCAAAAGTTAATTTGAACATGGAACTCAATGAACTCGGAAAAGGTCAGAGAACTGAATTTACTACATTTTATTGACTGGAAAAAACAGAGAAACAGGAACTGAGAAAATAATTAGAATAGATCACAAAGAGTTTTACTATATTCCTATGAGGAATTTACTTTAGAAACGATTTCCTCAGTTAAATGTAACAGGGAAACATCAAAAAGGCCCGGCTTAAAAGAAGGTATTGTACAAAATTGACGAGACATCAATGCCGTACATTATGAATTGTGGTTATAGGTGAAGAAGTATAGAACAGTCTCCAGACTATTTTCATATGCCATATTATTTTAATTCAATGTGTTTTATGAAGATATTTCGACCTACATGAGAAATACGAGTATTTTTCCCAAGGAGGAAAAGGCGACTCGGAACCTTTCCGGAGCCTTTGAAATGCTTTCCGAAGCTTGAGAGGCTCAACATCCGATGCGCTCCGATGCTAAGAAAGAAAAAAGTCACCTTTTTCTCCTTGATCTTTCCCCAATGAACGAAAGTGGTTAGGTATGCACCAGTTTCAGTTTTTAACTGTAAGAACTGGAACTGTTGAGAACTGGGGTTGTTGACTTTTCAAAAGCAATTGAATCAGTCACATATCGTTGTACATGAAATATTGTTGACTGATGAAATTACCGACTTGACATGAGAAGTGTATCATTCTTCGATCGTCAACAAATAACGATACTGAAACCTCCGAAGACACAAGGGGCAGCTCGGTGGTTGAATCTGCCAGTACTTCATCTTAGTTTTGTTCTTGTAGCTAAGGTCTTATTAGATATTTGTGCATACATTTGTGCATACATCAACTAGCAAGTACATCCACGTACTTGGATGTTGAAGGAAAGTTATTGGAAATGCATCACAACGAAAACACATTTATTTTTTGCCCATCATAGATTCTTAGTTTTATTGAATGTCTCGGTTTCTTATAGATATGACACTTCCTACACTAAACATGTTTGTTATTTATGAGTATTTAAATAGCAACGACTGGTTTACAATAGACGATGCGTTAGGAAATAATTGATTGAATTAATAATTGATATCATCCGACGTACTCATTAAAGGATTTTGTAATATAATAACAACTGCATGTAATATGGATGACGACTTAATACATTTTAATGATTTACATCGCAGAAACGTTATGATTAATCGACATACAGGTAAGAATTCACTAGTGGAAGATAAAACTAACAGACCAGACGCATTCATCTAGTTAGGTTTCACAGCTGAAAGATGAGAAAACATACACATACAATCAAAAAGTTAAGATAAATTCCATTGTATAAAGAACATTAACGGTACCAATAATGAAAATAGATGAAATACGAAAAACTTAGAAAACAAAGAATTCACCTGTGGCTATTGTTTAAGCAGTTTCAACATGTCTCGTTAAAACGTACTGCTCAAAATTCAAGATACACTTCACATATTTTTATTATTTCGATACCCTAACGAACATTTTTTTAAAAAGAAAATACATTACGGTAAAGATCGTAGCACCAGTTGCAATTTATCAAAACAAAAACTGGTAAGAAGCGTCTATTTTGACCTGGCCAATCAGATTTCATGGTTTAGTACATACCACAACTGCAGTTCGGTCTCAACCAGACTATCGAAATGCCCATCAAAA